TGCCAATATAATCTATACGTTTGGTAGGTTAAGTCGCGGAAACTGCATGAATTACTTATTCACTGTATTCATTAGGTCACTAGGCCTTCATAGCCTGCTCTTGATCTTTAAGATCGACGCCCACCCCGCAACGGTGATTTCAAAACCAAAGCTACATTTTCCAATCTGAAGCAGGAGTATCCAGCGTGCAATATCTACCTCACAGCTACCATGTCCTTCGATTTTGAAGCCTATTTCCACGAGCATGACCCAGCTGCGACCTGGTCCATACGCCCTCTGACCGGGGGCATCGTCAACGTCACGGTTCGAGCAGTAAGATCGGCATTGATTCGCCCTATAGAAACGACGCAGGGTGGAACTGAGAAGGGAAGTCAAGAATTTCGTGATCCAGGGAAATTTTCTGGGTATGGTATGGGAGTTTGATGGTGAAGTATGCTCCACCGTATGTTGCTCTGGTAGGGGCACAGGCTTCATTTGATCGTGTGAGACAGGTATGATACCGGACCTAAAATGTATCCCTGCCGCCACAATTCAACTCTATTCTAGGTTCAATTCTGTGGTACATATTCGGAGCATTTAGTAACTATACTATAGACAATCGAAGCCAATACGTTGGCTCTTTTCGCAATTCGATAGCCCATTGGTTCCTCTTCCACGCGCGTCTGATGTTCTCGTTCCCCGGCTCATTCACCATGATAAAGATTCTCATCTGCTCATCATCGAAGATTTGGGGAACCTAACTCCACTGTCAGATTACTTATCTCCGCCACCCCCCGGAGAGAATCAATGTCAATTCCAGGCGATTTTGTCTAATGGAAATTTATGGCGCTCAATCGGTCGAAGGTTGGGACATTTCTTTGCTAACCTACATTCGAAATCGACGCTTGAGGCCGTTACAACATACTTTGGAGCAACCGATCTGCCGGGCTTTATAAAAACCCGAATACGACAGATTTGGTACGGGACATAGCGGTAACTATTACCTATCAAGCGGCATTTGGAGGAATACAACATTCCCGCTTTCATGAATCTATCTGAGATAGTGGAGCAAGACTATGAACGCGGTATATCTGGCGAGGAACGCTCTTTTATAATCGGCGATCTATGGCCAGGCGGGATCCTCATTGACTCTTCGGACCCGTCCGCTTTAATGCCCAAACTAGGTGTGATTGACTGGGAATTCTCGGGCCCTGGCCGCGGTGTCAATGGGGATATGGGTCAGCTACTCGCACACCTTCATCTCTACTTTTTAGCTTCGAAGCTCCAGCAGCCTAGGAGCGCTGCCTACTCTTCTGTGCTGGCCTTGGATAGAAGGCATGAATGACTCGTATCATGCGCGCAACCTCGCCAATTATGGCAATTTATGGACTCTGGCGTCCTCCACGCCATCCGACCCACCACCTCCAACCTCTCCTGTCGCGCGCAGATTTAGATCTGCCATCATAATTCATGGACGCGAGATCATCAACAATGCAATTGGAAACGATTGGAGTGGATTCTGTGCGGATCCAGGAGATGAGAACGAAAAGAATGGGCTGGTACGGTCCTTGGTTCGAACTGGAGTCCAGCTTCTACGTTTAGCGGGGAATACCACGGCAGAATTTGTCGACAGGCAAAATTGGAAACAGCTTCTACACAGTACGGAGGCGAAAGTCATAGTCGGATTGTTTTTGGATGGATGTTAGTTATCGGGAACGTGAATAGGGGCATGGATTTCAATCTAACCGTGCTTTAAGAGCGTTGAACCTTACGTAGATAACGAACGATAGAGGAGACATGCCAAAACTTGAATAGTTATGCAACCCGGAGACAGCTTTATGGTCTTTCAATCTTAGAATCCCATAATATCAAGTTCAAGGAATACTTGCCTGTCGAACCTCGACAGCACGTCGATATTGGAATTGCGAATGCTATGCTTCATCAGATTGCGTGCCTGACACTTGCTCGCGTAAACCGGGCAGTTTATTAGTGTTAGCAACCGTTTCCTTAGAAATTAATCATAAGTGCATATCGGACTTTTTAAAGGCTTATCTCCTGTTATTGTCGTTAGAGCGTTCTCCTTATGAGGTATTTATATGCAGTACATCTAGAGGCAAGAGTATGAGTTCAGTTTCCCACCTATCTTGATCAGCATTGGGCCTGAGAGTGTCCCCGTACTTTGTTTGCATCGACCTCTTCTTTATCTCTCTTTCTACTTTACAAGAAGATGGTGCTATTCCATCATCATACTCCGAAACACTTATTACTGCCAAAGCTCCATGACTCCCATACACCTACCTCATTTTAAATCTCAGACCACAGTACAGACTGTAAGTACTTTCTCGGGCATCAAAACCTGCTGACCTTTATGTGCTAAATTACGACCAATGGATAGCCTCCGAGCTAAAAGAGATCAAACATCCTAACCAAACTTAGCCGCTTGGATCTGCTTATCCCTTTGATTTCCAGCTAGGATCAGGGAGGAGAACGCTTGGATGGCGCAGAGTGCAACACCTTCGCGGGCGTCATACGTTTCAACCCTCTTTTCGCTTCATATGAATTGCGTCCTAGTCTACAAATAAAACTTCATTGTCAGGCGTCTTGAATGGACTCAACAGGCTAGTTCTCATATCTAGTGTCATAGTTCGAAGTGTCAATGAAACCTCCTACCCTAGAACTAGTCAGCTGTAACATGATCTTTCCATTCGAGGGGTGACTGAAAAGGGAGCAGAGTTAAATGCTTCAAATAGCATAATCAATACCCTAAGTAGCATAAACGGAGTCTTGCTCCTGATCAGGTATATGTTTCTTGATTTTATGCACCACTGAACAGGAATTAGTGTTCTCATTTTTTATTTGAACCCCTCTTCGACCGCCCCATTCGGTTCGTGGTGTCATACATTGTTGGTCTCGGTTGTTCGGAAGAGCAGGTATAGTCAGGGATGCCATTATAAAGAACGCGTTTCCACCAACCAGACAGGTTCCTTCGCCTTTTCCCCCTCCCTCCCCGTACAAATCCCGATGAAAAACCAAACTCAGATTTCCTGCCTGACGCTTCCTAACCAAGGCGACCTGACCTGCCCGTAGGAAGAAGACGAGAAAACACAACTAGCCATCAACATATGTGACAAGAATTTGTTCACATCCATTTCAACTTGGGACTAATGTCACCTCCCTGCTTGGGGAAGAAGGGGGGACGGACGGGACGAGACGGGGAGGAAGGAAGCATTTAACTTATTGGCGAAAAGTTGATCTCTGGTTGGCCGAAGAAAGAATAATTGTTCCCCCCCCCCCCCCCCCACTTGCCAATAATTTCAGATTGGAATTTGGAATTCCCTTTCGAAGACAGAGAACAGCAAAAATTTGCCGGTCAGGTAAGTAGCTGAGAATATCGATGATTTGTGTGATCTGAGCCAAAGAAAGATGCAAGGGTTAGTTACTACAAGAATGGAATGTACGCAGTACCGAGGTGCTTTTCTGGTAACAGTTTGTATGTGGCATGATATTCAGGGGCTTCTTCAATCAATGACACCTGCTTGCCTCAAGCTTGGATGGGAAAAGATGAGCTATTTATCGGAGGATGAGGCAGAATAAGGTTAACTTAATGCTGTGGGAGCCATTAAATAGCTCTCTGTCTGTCCGTATTTGGTATGTGCCGACAACGTTTTCGAAGACATATCGAAATGAGAGCCCGAGTGCGCGCCAATCCTCGTCAATATTTCTGATCCTAGACTGGACAACACTCTTTTTCGGGTGGGTTTCCCGGTCTTCAGAAGAAATCACGTTTTGAGTGGAACGGGAGGAGGAAGGGGTTCCAGGTGAAACCAATCAATCATTGAGAGCGTCGTCCCTTTTTTGTCAAAGCTAAATAATAATGGACATGATTGAGCAAGGTTTTCTTTCACGCGTTTTATTCCGGAGAAGCTCGGTTCATCATCTGGAAGCCAGCAGATAAATTATCCCAGAGTTCAGAAAAAGGGGAAAGGGAGATGGTCCACATCTAATTTTCTTGAAGATTTTTCTTGTGCTAACTTGGGGATTTCGGAAGATTAACTTTTATAAAGTCGGGCTCAAACGATCTGTTGCCCGATGTACACAACTTTTAAAAATCCCTTGCGCTGCGCCCTTGTTCGGCTCGTCTAACTTGCAGGCTCTGGGGCAATTACTGCAGTCTCATGGTGCTAATTGGCACGGATTCGGCTGATGGGCGCATATACTTTACACTCGCTATGGGATGTCGGGAAAACAGTAAGCAGAGATGCCGATGACAGAGACGCCCGTGAATGTGATGCGAGAACATAACTTGTTTGTCACGGCGACATTAAAGAAGAGCCCGGAGGAAGTTTTTATCGCCTCAGGGACCGATCTGCAAGAGGGTCGGTAGAGTTCTGTTTTATATATAGCCTGTTATTCCATACTACAGGTAGAAACCGGTAGGAAGATTCCATTTTCTTTCGTCCTCTTTGGATTGGAGGTGTGTCATTACCACGAGTTCTGAGTTAATCCTCATGATATTAAGCAATTTTTCTCCTCATATATGGAATGCGCTTCATGTTTAGCTCATTGAGGTGCAGAGTGCAGAGTTTCAGCTGTGGTCAGCTATGTAGATCCCCTGAATGGAAGGAATGATTGCTGTGAGAAGAATGAGTAGATGTTGGAATTAGGTCGCGGACACGGGCAATCTTGGGAAATTTATATATGGATGGATATTGGGTGAAGAGATGTGGCATGTTGGGATTGACCAACTTGTTGCATCATGAAATTCATGCCCAGTTGGTGAGCTCAAGCTTTGCTATTTGAATGGAACCTCATCAGATGCTAGCTCCAAATAGCTTATCTCGCTTTTATCTACTGTTTGTTTTGCGCATAGTTTGAGCTGTGAAATGCTTGATGATAGGGCCCTGTTGTTGAATGAAAGATGGGCTTGGCTTTTGAGGAGTATTCAGAAACCCTACTATAGGACTTTAAAAGCAACATCTATCTCTTGTTATATCAGTAGTTAGTTATTATATATCATATTATCTGGGGATACCATTCTTTGTTGGATTTCGGGATGTTTGGGTCTGGGCAGTTTGTGCTGGAACCATTGATCGTCAACTACTCCGTACTCTCCACTCCGTAACTAGTTTACCCGCAACTCAGCTAAGTTAGTTAACTTACGCTCTGCAACAAGTTGCCGGCCAGATATGAACCTTTCACCGTCCTCGTTCCTTACCTCCTTACCTCCTGCCCTCGGTTGAACAGACAGTTGCGACAAAAACCTCGGAAAATATCCAAGATGAGAGTTATTGAGCAGAGGGTCATTTAGATCCCGACATTTGCCTGCGTCTGATGAATTCCAAACGTTGCCTGCTGCCCTTGCGCTCCGAAATTTCTGCCGCTAACTCCCTCTTTCATTCAAAAGGACAGAGGTTTCGGACTTTGAATCGCGCTGCTTCACGGCTTGCCAATGATCTTATCCTGAAGCCTCCGTCGTGGGGCAAAGAACCCAATCTCAATTAGCACCGAGGTTAGTTTGTTGAGGCGTGTTTCAACGCGGCTTAGCCCCGCCAGGATCTATCCTGGGAATCTACGATGCCTGGACGTTTGATCCTCATGTCTGGATCACAATCACATATGATATGCTCACTGAAAAGTAGTGAAATCGGCAATTATTCCGCCTCCGTTTTTGACTGGAAGCTCGAGATGAAGGGCGTACCCACTACAGCCTCCAGACCCCCCCGCCCTGTGTATTTCATGCAAATGATACATTGCAGTACTTCGCCCAGGGCATCATCTTTTGTACCGGCTACGTGAGGTGGAACAACAGGGCATAATTCCACGTTGGACCAAGCTGTGATACAAGGATAGCGACCGAAAGGAGTCTTTGTCAACAACCTCTCCTTGTAACATCAGCAATAATCAGTATCTTGCGGGGCGAGATTAACTACCAATTTCCCCTGCATTACTAGGCAAAACTGAGCCAGCTCCTTGGCTTTGTTGATGAAGAAATGAACTAGTTAACTACTGCTCGCCTGAACCTAAATTTAGTGAAGGGACATACTTGTCAAACCCAGGCCGGGCTGCGTCATTCCACATCCTGAATGCGTTATCGCCCGTAATCTCTTTTGGCTACTACCTCGACCTTTCGGCCCAAAGGTTCCGGGCTAGCTGGATAATATTACGATCGCTTATCACACAGGAATAATTAACAGGAACAGCAGTTAAATTAAGCGTGGTGGGCGGGCAGAAGGCTTAAAACTGAAACTGAGCGGCGGGAGTGGGTACGACGAGTTTAGTTTGCTATTTGTCGATCACGTCTTTGTTTGATGCCTCGCTCCAGCTCTGTCTAGCTTGGATTCTTGACGCGACGTGCCCGCTGTAATTTCTTTCATTCAGGAGCTGGCGGAGACTAATTAGCTGTTACAGTCTCGAGGAATTAAGATGATCAGGGAGCATGGAATAGAGCCACTCGCGGGCTTGGCTTCACTACCCGGTCGACAAGGATAGGATCATCGGTGCTTGTCTATTGCTCAGGCAAGACTGAAGAAGCGCGTTGTCGATAACGAGAACAATGTGAGGGATGGTCCCGAACAGTGAAACAGAACCCGGCGGCACATGTGAGGTTTCTCACCTCTTCAATCCCGGTCGACAATCGTCGTGGCAGTCGCGCAGTACGAAATGAAGCAGGTTTGCTTTCGCATTGCTCTGCGATGAGCTTTCTCTCCATTCTGTTGTCCACCAACTTGTGACTTACAGGATCGCCTCCCTCTATATTTTTGCAAAGGTGTATACAGTACGATCCTCTCCGGGCGCCGTTCAGGTACCCCAAGTTTTCGCAGTATGTTCCCTTGCGCAATTGGTCGGTGACAGGGAGGAGCCGCATCATTCACCAACGCCGCTTTCTCCGCAATTCCTGTTAAACTTTCTTTTTGTTCCTGAATAATCCGACCGTTACTCAAGGGTTTGTTTCTGTCGCATCGTACACACATACATTGATACTCCATGATTTACCTTCCTTTTGCTCTCGGCTTTTGGGAAGTTCGCATCGTGTGAGGTCGCAGAAGGGATATCTGATCTGTGGAGTTTCTCTTTTATATCTCCACTCCTAATCTTTGATCCGAGGGAAAGTGGTAGTTATCTCTGATATACCTTAGATCCCACCCGAGGTTCGCGTCTAGGGAAGCGTAAGATTACCGCCTAGAACTCGATCCATCATTCCCCAGTCCAATTTTAGAAGAGGGCTAGTTAACGGCACCTATTCTGGACAACATATCTTATTCAAGCGGCCGCCGCCAGCCCTTGAAAGCCGCCCCATCATTTTAATTTATGATGCGGGTTGCAAATAGTCCTTGCTATTATAACCCCCTAATGCCAACCCTCTTTTAGCACAACCATCAATCTGGTCCCTCATCCCAGTTCCGCCTGATCTACGATGTCTATTTCCACTGACCTCTATAATAACACTACTATGCGCTATTGTTCTTTCTTTCTTTCGCTCAAGAAGTTCGAGAAGTTCTCATTTCGCGAATCCCCGACCTCAGCCCTAAAATCAATTAACGAGCATTAGTTCTGATATAACTCCCTAGGAATAACTCTCTTGCCCTTCCGGCGTGTTTAACTCCCCCTTCGTCTCTTAAGGCGGGGTGATTTGAATTTTTATTATTATTTTTGTTTTACAAATTGAACTTGCATGATTCCCACCGCTCTTCCGCTGCCCCTCTCTGGAACAATTTCCTCACACTGAAGGCAGCTCGAAGGAGAAAAGTCCTACGCGATCCATACCTCTGACACGTTGATCTTCCAAAAACGAAAAACAAAACAAAAGGCCAGGACTTCTTTCAGGTTTGCAGCGCTTCGCGTTGAATCTACAGTCCGAGTTACTTGCGCATCATCGGATAGCCTGCTAGGGCTTGACAGCTCTAGCAGCGCCGGTACACAACCGTGACGCTGGCGGATCCGTATCGGGATTATCAGATTGATTACTCGGCACAAGAACAGTCGAAAGCTCAGGAACAACAAAGTCAGCTGGTTTACCAAGCAAATCAACAGTCTACGCAGACGCTTCATCATGCGGCGAGGCCTGATGTTGCCTTCCTCCCAGGTGGTCAGCATCATCATCAATCTTTCCAACAACAACAGCCATCACATCACCACCACCAGCAGGCATCGCCGCCGCCGTCGCAGCAACAGCAACAGCAGCAACAGCAGCAACAACAGCAGCAGCAGCAGCAACAGCACGGGCAGCACGGGCAGCCAGGCGCTATTGCGTTGTCCTCTGCAGGATCCCATAACGCCGTGCGCGACATCCAACCATCTGTTTTACTCCCCGCGCAGATGGTAGCACCCCAGCTTCCACCTCACTTTAACACCGGGCCGCTCCACTTACCATCGTATGCGAGTAAGCGACACGGAACGAAAAGAGCGCGCATCGATGACGGTCCTGGGGAACCAAGCGATGATCATACAGCAGGACTCAGTCTTTCAATGCTCTCGGAGACATCGCACGGGGATGAGCGGCAGTCCACCGATATGCTCTTGTCTGCGCAATCAGATCCCACATCACGCCACCAGCCTCCCTCTCAACACGAATACCAGCCGACTTCCTCCCTGCACCATCAACACCACCATCATCATCGATTGCCTTCGCAAGCCACTCTTGTGGGGGCCCAACGCTCCGATGCAGAATTGACATCACCTGGGGGAGTGTCTGGGCCTCCAAGTGTGGTTGGCCAACCAGGGATGCCAGATCCCGCACCACGACCACGAGGACCCAAACTAAAATTTACCCCAGAGGAAGATGCCTTGCTGGTAGAGCTGAAGGAAAATAAGAACCTAACGTGGAAGCAAATTGCTGATTTCTTCCCTGGTCGGACCAGCGGCACATTGCAAGTTCGCTATTGCACCAAATTGAAAGCCAAGGCAACGGTCTGGACAGATGAGATGGTACGACTATCACTTTTCTTTTTCTTTTTTTGTTATCAGGCACTGCGAATCAATTGTGAAGGAAACAGGGTATCTGTTGGGCTAACATCCCTTGTAGGTGCAACGGTTGCGTAACGCGATCCACGAGTACGAAAATGATCGCTGGCGTGTGATCGCGAATAAGGTTGGAAGTGGGTTCTCTCCTGTAGCCTGTCGAGACAAAGCCGCAGAATTATAGACAGGCTGTCGCAGAAAATCATTGCAGAAATCTCTTGCTTTTGGGCCCACTCAAGAGAAGTTTCTAGGATGCGGTTAGGGCTTTCTTCCCGTGGATATGTGCGACTAGGATGTGTACGTCTGTTCTGTCGGAGTAGTTACATTGTTCCCTGTTTGTACCCTCGGCCTTATGGTTACAGCGTTCGCAAAGAAATCCTATCTGGTCTTCCAAATAACTTCGATTTATGTTGTCAACCTCCTTCCTCCTACAACCCTTAAACCGAGACGAAAGAATATGGAAACGACGATGGGTTTAAGGCTGATCCGATACATCCTCGAGGGCGTACGAGAACATTATCTTGAAAAAGAAAGAATAAAGAGCAAAATATAAAATTCAAGACTGACATGTTGGCGGGTGCTGGAGATCCGAAACAGCATTATAGCAGCGACTCCAAGTCACACGGATCACAAATTACTTTACGTAGCGTCGCGAATCGCCCTCTCACCGCGAACAGGCTGTATCCGTTATGCTCAGCCTCCGAAAGTCTGTGACTATCCTACGGCTAGTCTACTTGTCTTATCTGCCTTGTTTCCTTGTTTCGACTAATGATACATGTTGAATGAATGGGATTGGTTAACGTTTGGCATTGCGCAACAATGATACCCAGGTTTACTTTTCTTATCCTGTTTTTCTCCGGTGGGTTGGGATAGAGTTTGTTTACTTCTATTTCTTTTGTTTTGTTTTGTTTGCGATTTTCCTCTACTCATCACACTCGTTGATAATTATTATTTCCTAACAGTGTCTGTTTTCTTCTCCTGTCGTTTCCATTTTCTTTAATAATATTTTTCTTTACTTCTATGTCGGATTTTTGGGGGGGGGGGGGGGGGGCCTGGTTCTGGGAGGTCACGTTAAACCGCCACGAAGATAATCAGTAATGGGGGGTTCCTTTATACGATATTTTGATACCCGATTTCGAAACATTCCTTATTACTTTTGGTCGGTCTTCATGTTTCTGCAGTGTGGATGTTTTGTGACAACACTGGCAAGCATATTTCTGTACTCACATTTCTTTTGTTCTTCAAGCATGAATATAGAGCAGGATTGTATAGGACCTTGGTATGAGCTGTTTTTAATGAACGTCCAAGGTCTTTGTTGTGTATTGCATTTCGTTGAGAACCCTTTCTCCTCGTGCGCTATCGTGGCTTGTCCTTTTGTTTGGCACGGACAGGGTGTTGAGTATCCACAAGGATACCGGCAGAGTGTCTATTAGAGAGGACGAGGCTACTCCGAGGCTGACAATGGGGAAGGTTAACACAGGGCATAACTGTCAACCCAGAACGGCCTTTTCCCCGGTTGTCCGACCTGTGTGTGTGTCTTTGTGTAGTTTTTAGTCCCCTGTTCACTTCTGTAGCCCCAGTAGTCTACTGTGCTCCCCGGAGTCTCACACCGTTTCTTTATGCATAGAGAAAGGCGGATTTGGCCGTTTGTTGCGACATCGCAAGGTGAGCCACGTTAGCAAGTCCTGCGACAAAGGTTACACGCAGGCAGGCCAACAGAGAAAGAGAAACCAAGGGTTACCGCTCTAGAGCGGAGGAGAAGGAGGACCTTTATTCCAATTTCATTCTATAGCAAATGCCGGTAGGGTAGGCTCATACACCGACTTCTGGTTCCTTGGAGGGGGGGTTGTTGCTATCAATCTCAGGCATGGAGGTGCTTTACAAGAATGGAATGAAGAGCTAACCCTAACTCTACCCAACACGGCAAGAACCAAATTGACCAATTAGGGCAGAATTCAATCACATGACAACTAAACAGTCATTGGCTGGTGCTGACTAATCGTACGATTCTCCTCGGACGGATCCGGTTGGTTGCTTGGAAGTCAACCTCAACTTCAACTTCTTGTCCAAATAATATCACACCACCCTCGCTCTCCAAACCGCAACTACTACTATTTCGAAAAGCCATTGGCAGTCGGCACAATGTTTGCTCAGCGGACCGCCTTCGCCCTCGCTAGGCGCACCCCCGTTAAGGCTCTTGCCCGACGCTCTTTTTCCACATCAGTTGTCCGACGTATGTGCCCGCTCTGTTGACGATTTTCTCCCGTCGATCTTCACATTCGCCCAATTGGCTTCCAACTGCCGTCCAGTATATGGCCAATGCCACAGGGCACTTTCTGATCTGGCAAGTGTCTGAATTGCCTGCTAATTTCAACTTTTCTGTTTTTCTAGGTGATGCTGGGAAGCCGGCCACATCCAAATGGGACCCCAAGCCCGGCGAGCCTGTTGGCAAATTAGTTTCTTTCGAAGGTTAGTCAATAGATTCTGGCCGTTCTAAACACCTCTATCGTCGTCTCAATTAGACATTTGGAATTGAATATGGTCTTACGGGACATTGATTCATTCCGAGCACTTTGTCATCACTGTTATCGGAATAACATTGGCCCATCCCACTTGAAAACAAGCTTTCTAACTGTTCGGATATAGATATCGCGGAACAAACTGACCTTCTACCCCCCGGTGCGAAGCCCGGAACCATGCCTACGGACTACGAACAAGCAACTGGTTTGGAGAGAATTGAACTTCTAGGGAAGATGCACGGAATTGATGTTTTTGATATGCGACCTCTTGATGCGTCGAGAATGGGTGCGTGACATTTAGTGTTTCCTTCCGCATCTCCTCCCAATATTGGTTAGTGTGGCTGGGATCGCGGGGTAATATTTGGGACTAAGTCGATATGCGAATTTGGCAGGAACCTTCGAAAACCCGATTATAGTTAAATCTGGAGGCGATGAGCAATATGCCGGATGCACTGGATACCCCGCCGACTCCCATGATGTTGTGTGGCTCACGGTAAGGATGCTCCCAGTTGAAGTTCCATTCTCCTCCTGTTGTTATGCATATAATTTTGCTTTATAGGCAAATAGATGAATGTTTTAACTAATGCATATTCTAGGTATCCCGCGAGCGACCAATTGAGCGATGCTCAGAGTGTGGCAACGTCGTTAAGATGGACTATGTTGGACCTGAGGACGATCCCCATGCTCACGGTACGTAAACTTCGTCGTTGCATTGATTCATGTCTTAGATCTGTCAATTTGTCGTTATATTCGTATTTTCAAGTTACCTAGCATTACCCACAATACTGACGTTTTTGCTTTCTAGATGAACACCACCAGGTCCATGAGGATCCCAAGACCATGGCCGACTTCGTCAAGCCCGAATACTGGTATAGATAAATAGATACCGGAACCGATTTACTTTGAGAGAATGAGAAAAGGTTCTTGACCTTGTCTACCTGCTCTGAAACTTGAATCCACAGCGGACCTAATGTAAAACGTGTCAAAAACAGCAACTTGCCATAGTCGGTTTTGTTTCTTTCATGTCCACGCACATGCGTGCAAACAACCTATCTCTCCCAGTGTCTTTCTCATGTGCAATCTTAGTTTATTGCCCTCCCGTGGGTCATATACCGACTCTACTCCATCTCCTAGCTGACATTTACCTTCTTATTTTCATATGTAGATTATTGCAGCTTTTGTATTACACCATGAATGAAGGCGGGAATTCTTTTTTTGAATATTTGAGGTTTTCGATTGTTGAGTGCCTGGTGTCACATGTTGGCTAGTACCGCCAAATATCCAGGTGTAGTGCAAAGGAGCTATGAACCGATTTGAGAAAAGATTTTAGCTACGCGCTTATCTAAGTTCAATGTCGATTCTGTCCGGTACAACTTCCTGGACTTGGTTGATCTGCAATCGCCAAGGCCGGTCGTGAGAGCCCAGAATACTAGACGATGCATATGTGTTGTGACATACATGCCATCAATAGCCATCATCGGAGATTATCTTAATCGCTTCAGTTGACACCTTGCTCAGTATATCGTATTCGATCTAATCGCCCGTACTTAAAATATGTAGAACACCAGTACAGTACATGCACCTATTTCAACCACCACATAATCATCAACTGTGACTAGTTCGTTAAGATATCGCTTCCCAGCCTCTGACCCTGTGTCTAATAGAATATGCCCATCACAATCAACAACCCCGCCTCTCCCTGCATTAAGTTGAGTCCACCTTGAGTCCCCTTGAGTCCCCCCGGAGTGGCATTAGCTCAGCCCTATTCGCCAGTTCGCGTTCCACAACAAAGCCTCCCCCTCTACCTAGATGTTGTACCATGCCGGGATGCATGTTCAAACTTTTCTTGTTCATCCACACGGTCTCTCTGCATTTGACTCCTTTCCCACCTGCTTGCCCCCTTCTTTTCTTGAGAGACGCCGATAACGGTTAACCGTTGAAACATAGCGCTCGTCAGTCGTTACGCTGCGTTGTGTCTGTTCCCGCCTTCACTTTTCACACGAATTCTTTTTGTACCCTTCAACCTGCAGGAGAAAAAAAATAAATAATAAATAAAGATGGATCAACAGCATCAATTTGACTTCTTCCTCTTCATATTTCTGCCATTGCCATGAAAACGGGCGTGTTGTTCTTCTGGCTGTCCAGGGTAATATTCATCGTGGTGGTAATTTGGGATTTGAACAGTACCAACTGGACTACATAGGGAAAAAGCAGCCGCACATCACGGCGTATTCGTCTCCCTACGCATATGTATGTATATGCATAAATGCATATACGTGCGGCGTTGAATGCATATCAAGCGCGAAAAGATGACCCTTCCTTTGGAAAAAGCCGGGGGGATCCAATCAGTATACACCGGTTAGTGCTGCAGAGCCACATAATGTACATACATTCTTGATGCCATCCCAAGTAAGGTCTTTATTGCAAACCTTTGGTTTCACTCGCCCAATTCGATTAAAGCACTATTCACATGAACCTTTGTCATCGATATCCTTGCTCTCACAAGACGGTGGTGATCTGAAGGTTGTTGAATTGAATCATTAAAGACAAGGGGAGATGTGGTGTCCCTTGTTTGTTGAATTTGAACTGTGCCCACCACAGTACTACCAATGAATACATTATGGTACACCCAAATTTTTCCAGATTTTACCGATCCAAAACATCGGTTCATCCAGTGAATAATAGGAAAAGTCCTGGAAGTTCAAGTAGCTTGGAAGAAGGCCACTAGCAAAGCAACAGAATGGACAAATATGCCTTACTGGAAATCCTGTGAAGCATCTGGGCAGTTGAAAGGGTAGAGAAAATTTTGAACTGTGCTAGAGTTAAGTCATCAGAAAGCCCTCTATTGAGTGGTAACGGGGTGTCTACGGGTAGCACCTGATGTATTTATGCAACTTAAGACTAAAGAGAATAAAATTTCTCCGTGCTTTCAGTAGTAGGTACTAGCTAGAGGCCGTTGAACATAATTCAAACTGCCACTGCAGGTATCCCCAAATAGACTTGGTAATGCATGAGAGTCAACGCTTAGACGCACGCTGTGGAAGCAGCCAACCCTTAGATATACCAATATGCACATTATCGACATATAGGAGGAGCGTAATAGATGGATAGTGACTTCTCATTTGAAGTGTTGCAACTCTGCTATCTGTCCGAGTAACTTCTCGAACAAAAACGACTGAAAACGGTGCGATCGGGTGCCACGTAACCCGCCTGAAACACCGAACATTCCAAGCCGTGCACAGCAGCGGGTAGGGTATTTTCGAATAGAAGAGAGTTGTTTCCATGACTATGGCTCGTTGAGGGCAGGAGTGGTATGGAGCTGGATGGGGATACTCAACACAGGATGGTAGAAAGATTATGGGCCGTCCGCAAGGTGAATACCGCAAACAGTCCATCTTGGAAAATGTATTCAGTTAATATACGTGAGTATACAGGGATCGGCAAGGCAAAGCTTCACAAAGTAGGCGGATCAACCTGGACCCGATTCCTTTTGATGGCGCAGGGACGATTTATAAAATCAGACAGAAAGTGGGATTCGAATTTTTCATCGCGCAAATTCATACGTTCGGAGGAACCATGCCTAGCAAAATGATCCATCGTTTGAAAATATGGGATGTTAGAAGGGGGTCTGGGGTTAAATAGCTAGAGATGTTACCTGTTAGTTACGTTTAACCTCAATCTCGATAGCTAGAGTTAGTTCATTTAGGAAGAGCCTAGGAGTGTATTCACACACATATCTTAAGTCATTCCAGCATTCGTATACCAAGATAACTTCGTCTTCTGAAAGCAAACTAGGGTAAATCAAGCATGCGGGGCACATAAGGATAGCACCTAGAAGAAATCGAACTCAGAACGACGACACAGATTTCTGAAAGCCTAACATCGTTGCCACCACCGGCGGTTTGAAGGGAAGTTTTGGATTGGCCAAACTAGAAGTCCGCCTGTGCACCCAACAAATGCGGATAGAGAGTGATTTTGCAAGTGAGCCTATCGGATCGAGCTTGGTGACTCGGAGACACCGAATTCTGCAAGTAAATCTACAACGCAAACTTCAGAGCCGGGGTGGGGGGACGAAAGAGGCTTGCTGAACCGACAATCCGTCCGTTAGGAAGACATTGCCAGCTGTTGGTTGAACCTAGGTCAAATCCCTGTGTAAATTTGAAATACTCAGCGCCTTCATTTATTCAGAAAGCTAACACAAAGCTCAATCAATACTCAAAGAGAAAGAAAGAGATGAAAAAAGTCATGAAAAATACCTCCGAATTTCACTCGTCACCGGAGGGGAAAATCCAACAACTGAAACGACCGGGATGATTGATGGGAACACATCCAACTTCCTTGCTGTTGGTGAGGCACAGAGGATGCGCAAAGTAGAGGAAAGATACAACAAGAAGAAGGGGAAATTCTTGTCCTCCCGCACAAAATCATAACATTCCTGTAGCCGGGTTGATTTTATCCAATCAAGGGTCCTCCTGTATCAAACATAGCGACCCGCTGTGTAAAAGGTAACCATGTAGAAAATGCAACGAGTGAAACTGCATGGCTGCTAAATTTGGTGTGATAGTTAGCCACCTAGCAACACTTGCAATGGTTAGAATTAGAATGGACTTTGATGTCTCCTGGCTTCGGTATGCCATAGATATTGTTAGGTCTTGGGAGTTCACTGGTGTCTCGGCCACTGATAGAAAAGCCCAACGGTGTATCCCCGGATATATATGAAAATGAAAACAGAAAAAAATAACGACGTTGTGTGTGCGTGTTGAAACAGGTTTGGTTCTTCTGACTTGATGTGACTTTGACAGCTACTTTGAATGTATATAATGCTTCAGAAGAGGAAGAGAATGGGAGATTGAGAGAAAGTACTTGTGTTCATTCAGAAATGAACCAAGATAAAATCCATCCTCAAAATTGAGAAGTTCGTCCAACCAGCTAGCATTAAAAGAGCAAAAACGCAACAGATGAACAACCAAGTCAGCTCTTATCATGTAAGTTATTCTGTAGCTTTCATATTGTGCATGTTGATCGCTCAACTTCCTTTCTGACATTTCCTTACACACTACTAGCAAAAAAAGTGGGAATCCAGAAGCAGAGGAGGATGCCTGTAGATGGCTTCGATGAGGAATAACAAACTTAGAAGCAGAGACAGGGAAACAGACAAGAAAAATGACAATTGAGGAAAAATGATATGTGATGTGAAGCTGCAGTTCTCTCAAAATTTACTCACTTTAACAGGTCCCACGTGTAGTAATTGTGCCTGAATACATGAAGAATTAAATAGACCATATTAAAAAAAGAAAAAAATGCAAAAGGCAATTTAAAGGGGTGGGCAAGAGGCAAGGGGCCCAGAATAGAGGATCCGAAACAGAAATCGGAGTGACGAATGAAGCCTGCCTTTCTAACTTACAATAACCAGTTGTAGTGGAGTCGCTCTATGCCATACTGGGTTTTATTCCTTGTGTGTTCTGAAATGCTAATGATTAGGGTCAAATGGATAAGAAATGAGTAGTACATACATACATATAAGCAATTGTGCATGCAAAATAGATAGGGATGAAAAACTCACAAATGTTGTTTGGCGTAGCTTATTCACCAGGTCCCTCCCTCTATCCATTAACTATTTATCTAACGCAGAAGGGGTGTTAAACTCCCTGACACCTCCCACTGCAACTCATGATTAAGGTATAATAAGTTCGCAAAGATTATGCAGAGACTATGATGTTGCTTAGACGCATGTATTTAGTGTAATATACTTTATCCCATGTGCTTCTGTCCAATTTTCAGCCTTCAATCTTTCCCATCCCCCTCTCTCCATGCAGTCCAACTTTGCGCAATCGCATCCCAACAACACTCGCCTCAGTATCTTCCTCAACTCTGTCAACGTTCAACATCTCCAAACGACACAAAAAATAAAAAAATAAAAATGAGATAGGTATTTCACAACCTTCACATTAACATTTACCCACTTGGTCAATTTATTATTTTGGCCTAGGAGTTAAAGACGAAGTAGACGAAACTGGGAAACAGGTAATACCCCCCCTTCCGAGAAATATCCCGCCTGTTTTATAAACGCGCGCGACTGGATGATGCACTCAGCTCGTCCACGAGAGATATAGGCCGTTTGCAGAACTCTTAGAGATAACCGAGGAAACTTTGCCCGCCATTTTCTTTTGTCTGCTTGTATACAAAACTAGTCGATTTGGTTTTCCAATTGATTTTATTTGATATACCACCCGAATTTGAGATTGGAAGTAATGTAAGGGACTTAGAATAGGCATGTGGAAAGAGTGAAAACAAAGAAAAGGGAAAGAATAAAAAACCGGGGGAAAGGGGGGGGGGGGGGAGGTTGGCCATTAGGAAATTTGAAGAACTGAATAAAAAATTAAACAAGAAAAGAAGACGACTAGGAACCCAACGGTGCTCTTCGCATTCGCATAACATCTCACCCAATGAGCCGCTTCCCGAACAATCTCACCCCCAAGCACAAAACGCATTTTGATAGAAAAAAGCAAAGTGAAAAATAAGGGAAAATATGGAAATCAAAGCACCTTGAATAGAGACAGAGGAAACTGGGGTATAGCACTGCCTGAAAACTGCATGGGCTCGCCCCACCTTGTTACTAACTGGTAAAATAAGAAGGTGTGAACACCCAGCCTAAACTCCTGAAGCCTGCGATCCCGTTTACTCATCATAAAGTTGCGGCGATTCATAAATAGTTTCCTGAAATAGGAATAACGTAAAGACGTAGAACGGATGTACAACAGCACGAGCTTGGGTGCTAATTGTCGGGAAAAAAAGGGGGTAGATATTGTAGGTATAAGTTAGTCGTTAAAACGTCATTTCCGCTGCGTACGTTAAGTGTGCTTAAAATGCTCCTTTGCATATTGCTCACAGGCCTGGTACATTCAAAAGTTAGAATAACAGAGTCTATTCAGTCAGATGGGAGGAAAATCACCTTTGCTGGCTTCCCAATCTTCTGTCCAATGACTTTCCATTTACTTGATTCGTATTCTTTGATGGCATCGCGCAGCGTTATGGACTGATGATATGTTAAAACGCTGGAAAAATGGTGGCATGTTTCATTTGGTATTATAACATACCTCCTCCTCGGTAAATTCAGCATAATGCATGTCCTGCTTGCTAGTTAGACTGACAAGGGCAGATCACAGTTTTTGCTGCAGGACAAGTAGAAAACCAACCTTGTACCAATGTTTCTTCACACTTCCTTCAGTTCGCAAGGGGAAGGTCTAGTGTAGCAAATACAATTAGACTTTTATGTTTTAAATACTCCATATGTAACCAAGATATATGAAGGTGTGACTTTTCTAGCCCGGCATGAAAAGTAAGCTGGACGAACCTTAGCAATTTCACTCCAAGTGTTGCCAGCATCGCGCATAGTCTTAAGCCGTTGCTCCTCCTCCGCCGTCCATGGGGTGTTTGTTCGACCCTTCTTCTTGACTGTGGGCTCGGGGGCGGTTGGCGCGCCAGTTATACTAGTAGTAGTGGTATTTCCCTCGCCTTCAACAGCACCTGTTAGCGGGGGAGGTGCCATGGCGGCCAAACAAGCAGTCTGGAGTGACGCACGTCGCTTCCGGGGATTTGGAGCTGCTGGGGCTGGAGCTGGCACGGGGGTGGAGATGGGCACCATAGAGGCGCTTTCGAAAGGGCCAGGCCCTGTAAAAGGATGAGGTTGTTGCTGCTGTTGCTGGTTTAGGGGATGTGTGGGTGTGTTGGATGCAACAGTCGTCTTGATGCGTTTGGAAGTTGGAGGTGATCTACGAGAAGGATGAAAATATGGGTTAGTGAACTGTCCATTCTTGAATAAACCACTTGGTCGTCCAGCAAGCTTAGCATCTAGGACGCCGCTCTTAGAGAAAAAGATTAAAGCATTCCAACCTGTGGCTTGTAGTATCATAGGAGTTGGAATTGTACGCATGGAGGGAGAGAAGGGTGGAAAAAGTGAGAGCAAGATGAGGGGAATGTAAGGCGGGATTTGTTTTGTTTACGAAACAACAGCAACAGCATAAAAAAAATAAAAAATACTCACGACATATTAGGAAGAGGAGGTCTCGAAACAAAAACCGGCCAATTCATCTGTAGCGATACGAAGATAGATTAGTTAGATTTGGCCTGTTACAACCCGGCCACTTCGTTAATCACCCTGGCCAAAAACCGTGCAAGAAAAACATTACACACTAGGATCGGAAGCGAGGAATACCGCAAGCCTGATCTCGATGATCAAGCCGGGCCAGGAACATGAAGAGAAGGGTGGGGAGCTTGAGAGATTATGGTACAAACACTGGCGAAGGAAACGGAGTATAGTTGGGAAAAGGCGATTGGTACGTGGACGCGCGGGTGGGGGAGGGCGGGATATAGAAAAGTATCACTGTGCAGGACGACTTTGAGATGACAAGGCTAAGCTGTTGTCACCAGATTTTTTTAAGAGATTTTGGGTGAAGCACACAGGGGAACAGGGGATGAACGTGAAATAGCAGAAACCAGAAAAGGTATCTATTGATAATGAGTCTTAAGAGAGACAACTATTAGGAGAACGAGTATGGAGTTTGCCGATGGGAGGCAAAGGTATAATGGCATGAATGTACGTAACGTACGTACCTCGTTCATCAGTAGGTAGGTAACTGCAAGTAGAGGGAACAGTTCATCAAAGTAAACCAGATAGCACCTGCCGATGTGGAAAGCGGAAGGTTACAAGGGCACAAGTGAGTGTACGGGGGGAATCGGGGGGGGGGAAAGGGGGGCAAGTCGTGAACAGGTCGCGGGCAGAGACTTGTACGTATGTATGGGATGTATGTCGATAGCGGATGTTGTTCAAGCGACTTGACTGATGTTGTCGATGGAGCAATGCTGGAATGCGATGGGGGCGTGGCGAGCAGGCAAAGCAAGCTGGGCTGTGAGTGGGAAGATGCGGGGAACCCAAAGTTCCATCACAACCACAGCAAGGTCGGTACGATTCATACGACTGGCTGCGGGAAGCTGGATGGGTATGACGCTTTTACGAGCGCAATACGGGTGTTCGTACAAAAAAAAAAAAAAAAAACAAAACAAAACATAATCATATCATTCTCTGTCATCTTGCCGGTTTTCCACAACTAAGCACCGGTACCGTAACTACCATACTAGTACATTACAATTAGCTTCATCTAATCAACAAACCACCAAACCGACCTCTTGGCATCAATCACATTCGAGGAATAGCTTGCGCCGGCATATGCTCCGTATATGAGTTCGAAAGGGTCTCCTACTTGCTATCAGATCCAGTTGACCAGCCCTCTCTGTAAGTAGGCGCGAGGACGATGACCAAAGAAATTCTTGGAACTTTAAGCTTCCTGGCTTCAGCATTTGCGCAGTTATGAGACCAAGATGTCTTGTGCATGGACTCTAACCACCATGTATCAGACCTGTATTCAAGAGAGGGGGAGAGGCATAATTGCTTTTTTCTCTCCCGGCTCTGCCTCTTTTTTTCGCTAGAGAGAGAGAGAGAGCGTTGACATGTGCCAGAAGAGCTAGAATGTGCGGAAGTCAACAATCATGGTGAACAAGTATTTCTGGCTAATTTTTTCCCTTTCCTCCAGTGCGAGGAAACAGAAATACCCAGAAAACAATTCATGGGGGTCTTTGATTCAACCACTGACGCAACCAATCGATGCCAACCTTGGAAAGTTGCGACTGAAGTCATGACCAGCCGCTCTCGGAACCCGAGGGCGCTAATGATACAACGGAGGGTCGCAATTAATAACCTGCTTTTGCTTTTTCGGTCTTCTGGACTGGAAGCTAGCCTTTGCCCAGAAATGCTGATAGGTGTTTGTCCAACCCAGTTCTCAAAATTCGGACAAATATTCGAGGTATGACCAAGTCCTCGTTTTCAAATTTGATTGGGATTGGTAGCAGGAAGATGGCATAAAATTTAGCCAAAATCTAGTCATAAACCATTCATCTTTTGAGGGACCTTCCCTATGCTGTATTTGTCTTAGAACAGATTTCCCAGAGGGGGCGCAGAGCATTGCTCAGGTTGTTAAAGAGAAGCTCATAGGTTGTAACTTGGATGAAGAGGTGAAGATGAAACCTCGAGACTGTTCACGGAGGGGACAGGCAAGTCAAAACCATCGTTCAATACCATAAGCCAGCTTCCTTGAATCGCTCCTGCGAGCTGGATAGATGGTTGGTTCGCACAAGGTAAGGTACAAGTACTTATGATTAATTCTCCATTACGTAGTGTTGTTGGCATCGAAACTAAAGTTCGATTCCTCAGAAAAATAAGCTTAAAAATGATCACTCTCATGAGCAGACCCCGAGAAGTAGTATACATCTACTTATGACACGTGGTGAAGTGTGGCAGAACCCAGAAAACAAAAAGGAGGGATTGACAAGGCAACAGAACTCATTTTTGCTTTCTCGCATCAAATGTAGTCCGTACAGTACATTTATATACATACATGCATGTACTGTACCTACTTAACAGCTTCATCCGGATATGGACAAAGAGGTACAACAACGCAAGTATGTACATGGTACGACGGCAAAGTACACCCGATGGACATAGCTTAATTCAACCTAACAAGACGGGATGCATGGTCCACCGGAACTTTCTCATATATATGGAGGACTTCTGGAACCCTTCCAACAACACGTATGTATCCTATGCCCGATATACAGTTTGGATTCACTCTCTCAGTTCCTCATATGAATACCCCCCAAACACAAATAAACCCTCTAATCCCAAAAGCATACGCACACGTGTATCGAGTTTTGGATAGCGTTTCACTGTGTTACTCTTACATATAAAACAATTGTAGTGTTAGCAATGATATGGAGTATGATACCGGTCGTAAGCAAATCTTCCGAGCTTCCTGTTATTAACCTGTTCCATCTCGCCATATCTGCTAGCAGCTAGAGAAAAGCCCCTCCGAAAATGACAAGAAGAGAACGAGCCGTAGATGGTAAAAACGCCCATCAAAAGGTTCGGATGAGATGATCAACCGATCCTCTGGGTACCCCGCCCGCTCATCTCGAAAATCGAGAACTGATAGTAAAATAAATAAAGAAAGAAAGAAATTGAAATTGAAATGAAATGAAATGGAAATGGAAAAAAATAAAGATTGCTGCCCTGCTATTTCTAGGTTGAGCTTGGGCAAAGAAACGATCCTCCTGATAGGCATCTAGAAGCCCGGAACTCTCATCTCCGCCTTCTTTCCTGTCAGACCTTAAAAAGCATAAGGCACGCGCTGGCTAACCACTCTTAAGGCGAGAAGAGTGCTCACGAGTGCCCTCATTTGGAGGTCATATGCATGGCGTCCATTCATTGGTCAGGTAGACGTCTATATGTTGAGTAAAATATCCCAAATGGGAATTTACTTTTCATAAATGCCTTCTAGATTGTTCATCTTTTTCTTTTATGATTTTGTTTTGAATAAAATAGAATATCGTAACACAAGAGGAAGAATTTTCAATGTCTGGAGAAATTTCCCGATCAATGATAGCCTGCGCTGTCTCTTGTACAAGCATCTCTCTATTTATTATAGAAAAACCAACTTTTCTGTGCACCCCATCAAATCCATGGATGGGATGGGATTGAACAGCTGGCTGTATGACTCTGATATTAATCTTCATTCTTTCCTTTACAGATGTTCCCTACTGTATTTACATTCTTTATACTCTTCTCTACATTCATTACAACCTATACATTCATTAATATACTCATTTCATGTGCTGCTGCTCAGTGTGTGGGAATTCTCATTCTCTCGGTGCATTTGAACAGCCTCAATCCATTTATTATCTCTCTATTTATTATAGAAAAACCAACTTTTCCATGTAAAAAACACTGTAATGTGACATCATGTGCATCTCATCAAAAATATTTGAATGCTCTGACTCATACAGCTCAGATCAATCTTCAAATCTTCATTCTTTTTTTCAATCTGCTCTTTTCATACATTCTCTACAGTATTTACATTCCTTATACTTTTCTCTATATTCATTTTTGATCTCTGTGTTCATGGCATGTGCTGCTAAATAATGCTCTGTAACATGATCTTATGTGATGTCATGTGCATCTCTTTGAATTTAGATGGGATTCAACAGCTGGCTCTGCAGCCTGTACAGCTTTGATTAATTTGATAATGGTGATAGAGGTGATACGGGGTGGAAGAGAGTGGTAGGGGGAGAGGGTGATAGAGGCAGTAGAGGGGGGTAGAGGGTGGAAGGGGTGGAAGGGGTAGGGGTAGAGGGTGGAAGTGATAGGGGGGGCTGCGGGGCGGTAGGGGCGGTGGTGGTAGAGGGGATAGAGGGTGGAAGAGGTGGAAGGGGTGGTAGGGGCGGTAGAGGCGGTGGTGGTGGTAGAGGGGGTAGGGGGTGGAAGGGGTGGTAAGAGGGGGGTAGGGGTAGAGTAGGGGGTGGAAGTGATAGAGGGGGCTGCGCAAGCAGCAAAGCGAGCGTAAGCGAGCGTTTGATGCTTGTACAAAGTAGTGTAAAAATTGCAGAGTGAGTTTAAATTGCGCTGTTGTGCAGCTGTTGTGCAGCTGTTGTTCAATGTACACTCAAAATGATGATAGTTTTGTTTCCCTTACTCTTTGCAAACCTAATTGGAACATTCTGTTCCGTTAGTATATGAGAATCTTAGATTTGCATGTGAAAAATAAGAGGTGAGGATTGTGAAAACATTTAGAACAATTGCAATATTGAGAATATACCTGAATGAGTAATAAGAAGTGAGAATGAACAAGCAAGCGCTTATAAGATATTTAGAATGTTCTCACACATATTATTTATGTGCCTCTCTCTTTTATTTCCTGAAAATGAAGTGCATCACAGGGGCAATTGCAGGCATGATAACATGTGTAGATACATAACTGTGCTTTTACTATCTTGAGATAGTATGTATGATGTGTTTGTCAGTTCGCATGCATATTAAGAGCATCTGGGATAATTCTGTTCTTCAGCTAGATGAGGATAAACAATTTGATGCATGTAAACATTACATGACTTGGCCAAATAGATGTACAGATACTGTACATGTACATGCAGAGAGCATGCAGTGCTGTGTTGTGTTATAGTTATACCATATACATTTGCACAAGGCTCCTTGATTGCATTTCCCGTGGTTTTCTATGCCGAACTTCCTTTTTTGTGTTGGGGCATCTAGGTTTCTGGGAGTGGGTTTTCATGCTTTTCATTCAACTCCGCTCCGACCCTATTGACCTTGTGTGATTAACTGCTTCTATTTGTCAAAGGAGGGCAACAATAACTAAAGTAAGAAATGAAGAGTGTCGTGACAGAACTTTGAAGAGGGGAAATTTCGGCTTGACGGCAGGTTGGAAACTGTGAAGAGCAGGGACTGAATGTTAGAACTTGGTTACATGAATATCGGGGTGACAGCAGCTTCATATTAGGATGTAATATTACTGATTCTTGAAGAAGAGAACTAGATAGTAGAGAAGCAGGGAATGAGTATAAGACACGCCGCGTCTTCTGTGAGTCACATGATGTGTATGTAAGCATGCCCTAAGCCCTAGACCTTACACTCTGCCTCCTCACTTCTCTCATCCCTTCTTCAGAGTGGTGAGGTTATTATATTATATATGTGATATAGGTAGTAAGACATACAGACAATTAGGCAGTTAGAGTATACAGTAGTGACAAAAAAAAAGAAAAGCTTAAAGAGTGAAATCAGTGAGATATACTCTGTTCTATTCTGAAGTTCTAGCAGAATGCACTCTGTTCTAGAGTTTATATAAAGTAGCAGAAGTCTCTGACTCTACTTTTGAAACTTATAGCAGAATATACTCTGCTCTACTTCTTAGCAGAATATACTCTGCTTTATGAAGAATGAAGAGACTTATTATAGATTATTCTTCTGATAGCAGTCAATACTATAATACTATATCTGAAAAGAGTTAAATATATCAGTATATACAGAGTCTGCTTATAAGATATCTGATACTGAGTTTGTTACTGACAGTTATCAAGACCTTATTAAGTAGTAGATATAGAAGATATCAAGATGTGACTGAGTATTAGAGAGATAGTTATAGTCTACTTATTTATTAAATTAAGAACTGTGACTCACTCAATATACTAGATATTTAATTCAGTTTCTTCAGATGAGCTTAGTATCAAGTATCTCTTGAATATTATTATCATTATTCAGATTGAAATGTAGAATCTTTGAGAGAGTATGCTGATTATTTAGAATGAATAAGCAGTGTGATTCTAGAAGTGAGACATGAAATATATTATGTATATAATAGAAAGATGATAAGTCAAGTTGATATATCTGTATACTGACACAGATGTGTATAGTGAAGAATTCAAGAAACTTGTGATCTAGCTTACAGTTGAGATGACATGTTTTTATATTCTTTATATTAAGAAAAACAAGATTATTTATCTAAAACTCACAGAGCTTGTTACAGATGTAATACTATATGAGATTCTGAGAGTGAAGAAGATAATTATAAGTCTCTTACTAAGTATCTTTAATAAGAACTGCACAGCATTTCACAGCAGTATTATCTGATTCTGAGAGAGAGAAGTTAGATATAATAAGAGACATGAAATGATATTCTAGATTCATGAAGAATAAGATGAGACTATGAGCAGAATATACTGAATTACTATAAGTAAATTTGACTAAGATAAGAAGATCTACTCAGTCATTCTGTAAGTAGGTAATGTATAGATATAGATATACTTTCAGTTTATAGTTTTATCTTTCTGTCTGATCTAGACTGACCGTGTGACCGTGTCTGAGACCAGGACCAGATTTTCTGATAGTCTCATTACCAATTCGACTGATCTCATTACACAGTTTTAACATTAGATAGTAGTTTCATACTGTCTCAGTGAGACTTACTGTCTACTCTTGTCACATTTTTCAAATGAGATCATGATTTCCACTTCTCAATTTAAATTATTTTTATTGCTTTAAATGACTTTAAATCTCATTTGAGCGTTACCAAAAAGTGTTACTTTTTAAAAAATTAAAAATAGTCTAAAAAAAACCTTAAAATGTCTAAAAATAGTAACTTTATGCCAAGAATGAGACTAAATGGGACCAAATGAGATCACTTTCTCATTTTTTTCAAGTCATGGTTCCATTTTAAGATCTGATATATAGTCACTTTACATATTTTTTTGATAGCCAGTCCCAGTGGGATTCACGCCAAGAAATGTATGAGACCAGACCAAATGAGATCAAATGAGAAATTCATGGTCTCAGCGGCCAGTCTAGTCTGATCATC